TCGAATAACTTATGCTGCTCGCTTCCAAATTTTTCCAAATCCTGCTGAACGACAGTAGGTCCGCTACTTGAAGTACAATGACAATCTTTTAACTTTGGACCCAAATCCTGAATCTTGATGCTTCAAAATCCTTTCATATTTTTTTTTTCAGCCTATCGCAGCATAATCTGTCATCTTTCTGATTCTCTCACCAGTTTGCTTCTAACCAATCATCGAAAGAAGTTGCCAACAGCCTTCCCAACAGGTAACTGCTGCTTATTTTTGCTTCGACTGATCCCGTTGCTTCAGCTCTCTAAAAGATTGAGCACAGAAGGGATTTTGATTTCTCCTACTATTTCTGTCAATACACTAATGTTGCTGTTTCAGTAACGTCACCTTCCTTTCCTCCACCCCTCTCCCTCTCGCACCTCTTTTCAACTCCTTCCGCTAGTTTGCTCGCAAGTAAGCTGGAAAGAGGGAGTCAGCCCTGTCAGTAGTGGCTTGTTGCTGCTGACATTTGCTAACACCTGAATGGCAACTCCAGTGCCTCCAGCATAACAAACAGCAATAATATCATTACGTATTAACGCAAATAATTTTCAGTTAACGTTTATGCTTTCGCCTGAAAAAGGACACCTCATTATTCTTATAGAAGGTGCTGGTTCATAACTGACAGACAATGATTGTCAGTATAACGGGTTAACTTGCTCTTTCTCTTTTCTTTCACTCTCTATTTTCGCTTTCTTCCGCATAATCATTTTGCAAATTAGTCACATTCCTGTTGAGTACAATGTGAATAGGAGGCTGTACAAATGATTTCTGCTCTTACACGCACGCTGAGGCGGGTCTGTGTTACAGTTAAGGGATGAAACATAGGCTGCATCTTTAAATGTTTTCTTACACATGACAGTCCAATCTCTCTATTCTACTATTTCTGCTTAACCGATAGAACCGTCCTCCACTCGCTGCATCCGAAAAAGAGAATTTTTGGCTTGAAGTATTGATTTGTGTTATATGAGTTGGTAAATTTTTGATAGTTAAAGTGGAGAATAATTAACTGTGAATAAAATAAGCACCAATTTGTTGAAAGGAAATAGTCCAATCAGAGAAGTGTGCCATCGATAATTATTTTTTCACTGAATCAAAAATTTTGAGTTAATCTAGACTGACATGTAGTCGCTGCAAATTTTAAATAAAAAGAGCATATAAAAGCTGCTAATTTTTCAAGCAACATATAAGCACTCACGCCGTAATACATCCGATCGTTCACCACCAGCATACTGACGATACTAGAAAGCATAATGACAAGAGCGGGGAGAAGACGATGGGGGGGGGGGGGGGGGGGGGGG